AAATAAAAATAATATTATATTTAAATTTAAAATTGATTCTCAATTCAGTTATTGAAAAACTTAAGTATGTGAGTTGATTTTTTCAATGTAAATTTTATGAAATCAGAATAGAGATTTCTGATTTCTGGTGAAAGTTTAGTATAGAATGGTGATGTTCTGTGAGTATAAAGTATACACTGGATTTTGAAGTCTTCATACAAAAAAAGGAACATAAAATTCCATTGATTTTTATATTAATTACAAAATGATATAATTTAGTATGTTGGGTTAAGATATATTACTGAAATTAATTTCACATGCTTTCTTTTACTTTCTTAATATGACTACTGGAAACTATAAAACTAACTTTGTGACTTGCATAATATTTCCATTGGACAGTGTTTCTTTAGGGTTTGGCCACGGTGGTCTGTGCCTGAGAATGGTCATAGGTCGTTGGAGAAATCTTGGTCAAGAGAGTGAGAAGCCAAGTGACAGAAAAGATCACTGATGTAGAAATTGAAATCAACCAAAATGATGGAAATAATGTTGGTGAGGGAGAAATAAACCATACACTAAAAATCTTCAAGAATTGCGTGGCAGCAAGAAGAGGTAGGAGGTCGTATTATCTGCAGAGCACCTCTACACACTAATACCCAGCCAACTCCCTCAGGCGCACTGAACATTCATTCAAGCAATGACTCACTTCAGGTGCCGTACGCTGCTCATCGGATTGTTTAAGACCTCATGCAGAAGTGAAAACATCTTCACGGTAATGAACGTAGAACTCAGGCTCAGGAATGTCAGATTCTGGCTATGAACAATAGCCTTGAAAATATCTTCAAATTCAGAAAGAGGTGAGAGATAAGACAATCTGCAGAAGACAAAATAGTAGGAAGGTTTCAGTAAAGGTCACACACAGGACATAGACATCTTCTCTGCAATTTTTCCTGCCTGCTCTAATTCACTCTAGAATAGATCCTGAATGTTTATTATTTTCTCACACACTGCTCTCAATCTTAGGTCAAAAGACCTCTGCTAATTCCAACATCAGGCTGTTGACTTTGAAATAATATTCTGGATTTTATCATGCATTGACCTTCCTATGTACCCATAGGAAGGGACATTAAGAAAACACACACACTCACCCGCAAAATTAAACCAGGCTTCTCTACCATGAGAGAAACATCCGTAATGTGTTGATGAACAATATATCCACAGGATCTAGCACACATTAATAACGTACAACTTCATTTTTTAAAAGAAGTATTTCCAGAGTGCATCACACCACCACCATCACTACCACCACTTCCCCTAGCCAAGAACAGAGTTGTTCATGATTCCCTTGAAAGTTGAAGCAAAACATCAGGGCAACAGCTTTGGTCATTGTCTCTGTAAGGGCCATAATGAGGTAAGAGTTAGGAACCCACAGCTCAAAATTAAACAAGAGAGATGTGAAAGGGACTATGGACACTGGCCAACTCACAGAGGAATGATTTAGGATCGAGGATTCTATGACAAACCCAAATGTAGAACACACATGGAAAGGCTTTTGAATTTAGTTCCCAGCCTATGTGGTGAATAGGTGGGAGGCTGAATGTGTCTTGCATGTTATGGTCTATATTTCCAGAGCCCTTTACCCAGTGATGCTCTTGAGCCCCATTTCCAGCAAATAACTTCCCTCCCACTTCTTTGCTCCCTGTTGCAACAAAACTACTCAAAATTTTTCAATTTTCATCTCACCGTTGTCTTACCTAAATAGGCTTTGCCCTCACTACCCTTCCACAACTGTTCTTGGTCACCCGTGATCTCCACCTTGCTAATTTCAATGGTCAATCTCAGTCTTTCCTCTCTTTGACTAATAACCACCATCTGACACAGTTGATATCTCCTTTGTTCACAAACTTATTTCACTTGGATTCAAGGACACTACACTCTTTTACTTTTTCTCCAACCTAAATGACCACTCCTCAAATTCCTTTTCTGGTTCCTGCTTTTCTCCCCAACCACCTAATGTTGGAGAATTCTGGGAATCACTCCTTGAATTGTTTTTCTTCTTGGGCAACATTTCTATCCTTGGTGAACCCTTCAGGCCTTGGTTTCAAATATTATATATTTACATAGTACACACACATACGTACTAACAACATCCAACTTTTATCTTCATTTCAGGAACATTCCACACTGTTATTTGGATGTCTAATAGACATCTCAACTTTATGTCAGACAACTGCAAACTGACCTCTTCCAAACTCTTGTTCCATTCATATGTTGTTGTTGCTCATTTCAGGAACATTCCACACTGTTATTTGGATGTCTAATAGACATCTCAACTTTATGTCAAACAACTGCAAACTGACCTCTTCCAAACTCTTGCTCCATTCATATGTTGTTGTTGTTTTTTTTCATCTCAGTGGCAACTCTACCCTGGCAGTTTTTCAAACTAAAGATCTTGGGGACACTCAGCTGTTCTCTTTCTTATATTCTACATACAATCATTCAAGTAATCATCCCTTGCCCAGGATGTATGTTGGAATTATTCAGCGTATGCCAAGGAGCTCGTACCTCACCAACCTCTTGTTCACTCTCTCATCAGATGCACTGTTGATTCTCATCTTGAAGACTCTAACAAGCCTTCTTTGATTTCCCTAGTTTTATCTTGGCTTCCTGGTCTGCTATTCTTAACATAGTATCCAGAATGTGTCTTAAAGTATGAGACGTCATATTATAGCACCTCTGCTCAAACTCCCTCAAAACTCACTTCATTCCAGAAAATCCAGTTCTGACACTGGTTTATAACGCCTGTGATCTTGTCATACATACTTATGAGCTATTTCCCTAACACCATTCTTCCCTCACACTGGTCTAAGCACATGGGTTTCTAAACTTCTCTGAACACACCAAGCCTTTGATCCATGGATCTGCTCTCTCAGAAATGGTCTATGACCAGCTGCCCATTTGGTTCATTCCTTCACCTCATTAAAGTCTTTGTTCAAATCTCACCTTCTCTGCGGAGCTTATTACTACAACCTGCACCCTCCACCACTACCACCACTCAAGTTCTCATGCTCCTTTGCTTGCTATTCTTTTCCCTCATAGGACTATTACCCTGAAATATTCTTTTATTTTTTACTAAAACATAATTGATTGCATATACCTGTGTGCAATATGTGATCCTCAAATCAGGATAATTAGTGTATTCAATATTATACAATATAATCATTTTTGTATGCTTTTAAATGTATGTGTTTATTGTTTGCCTATTTTCTGTCTCACTGGATAGACAGCAAGGACATTTGTCCCCCTTCTCCCCTCACTGGTAAATCCCATGTACCTAGACTAGCACTTGAAACAAAGCAGGCATTCTTCTTGAATAAAAATAAAGCTAACCATTATGCTGTGAGAATCCTGAAAATATCATATGTTCCTACATTGGGCTGTGCTGAATAATCTAGTAGCATTTCCTATAGAGCTACTGTAAACTCAGACAAATATTAGCTTTCCTGATGATTTTGTTTTGGCAAGTGCATCTAAGTTTTTCACATGATTATAATGCACTTCTTGAAAAAAAGAAAGACTGATAGACTTCTACCCTGACCCATTTGTTTTCTTCCTTAGGGTAACTCCAGTTTTTACTATTTCTTATTGTTTCCGAGAATAGAGACTACTTTCTCAGTTCCCCTTTGCAGTTATATAGAACTATATGAGGACAAGATAAACAGGTCAATAAGATGTAAGCAGAAGTGACATACGGAAGTGTTACAGAAAGGTTCCATCAAGAAAGCTCCTGAAGCTTAGAGGTATACCTTTTCCCCTCTTTCTGCTTCTCTTGCTACCTGCCTTGAAGGCAGTCATATGACTGGGGCTTTGATAGTCATTGTGGTTCAAGATCACCTTGATCATAGACGCACTACCAATGGCTAAGAAAAGGTACAGAAAGGGCCTAGGCCCTGATAAATCTAACCTAAAAGTATATCTGCTACAGGGTTCCTACCTCCAGACTTTTCTTGTGAATAAAAAATTAAGCCTTTTGTGCTTAAGCGACTTTGGGGGTGGGGGTCTGCTATACGTGGTTGGACATAATTCGAAGTGATAGTCCTTTTTTTCACCTGGTCAACTTGTGATTCATCAGCATCTGAATCAGTTATCGTTTATTTTCTGAAAACATTATGAGGGACTTCAGAGTTCCCCTACCCCTATTGCTTGCACCTCTCACTGCTTTAGGTATATTTGCCTGCCTTAGTTTCTATTCCCAGCATTACTTTTATCACATGGGATGGTCATTTATTTACATATATATAAATGAATATGTATTTAATAATAAATAAATATATACATATTTACTGTATAAATTTATTACACAAATGTATACATTATTTATTATTACATTCACATACTGTATGTGTGTGTGTGTGTGTGTGTGTGTGTGTGTGTGTGTGTGTATATATATATATATATATATATATATACAGTCTTCCCTCAGAGAAGAAAAGGGAGATTATTATTATTCCTTGGGGAACTTATAAAATTAAAATAGGAATTGACATAATACCTACTTGAGTGTTTGAAGTTGACAGCTTGGATGTTTCAGAGATTTACACAGAATCCTTTCTGAAGTATCATCAAGGTCACTGTTACAAATTTCCAGCTCTCGGAGGTTCTCGTGAGTGTGGAGTAGAGAGCAGATATCTCTCCAGTAGACAAGGTTCCTCATTTGACTGTGTAGAGGAAAAAATGGAATTCTCCAGTGGAATCAACTCCAGCAATTTGAAAGTTAAATATATAAACATATATAATATATAAAAAAGCATCTATTAGCAGATAATTTTTTTAAAAGTATGTTTTGAGAGCCCCTGTTACCTGACTCAGACTTAATACCAGGCAGAAAGAAAGTATATCAACTATGAAAAACAACATCTAGACCCACAAAGGTAGCTGGTGATTCTGTAGTCAGGCAAGATACAACTGATCAAATACATCCTCTTTGGATGTGAAAATGTTAAATATTAAGAAACATCAATTTTGATGATAAACGTTGTATGTTATGTGTTATTGTGAATACCCCTAACTAATTATATAAGAATTATTTCAGTTAATCCACACAACAGATCTGAAGAAATAAGGTTAAACCACTGGTTCTCAATTAGAGGCAAAATTTTAACCCCAGGGGACATTTGGCAATGTCTGAAGACATTTTTCATTGTCGCAACTGAAGAGGATGGGTGCTATTGGCATATAGTGGATACAGGGCAGAATATTGCTAAACCCCTTACAATGCACAAGACAGCCAACCACCACAAAGAGTTATCTAGCCTAAAATGTCAGCAAGTCTGAGATTTAACCCAGAATCCCTGAATTTAAACTGAAGCATTGGGATTTTTAAATCACGGGTCCAATTAGAGACTAGATAGAAAATCAAGTTCTGCATGGCCTTCAGTTTCAGTCTTGTTCTGATGATTAAGAACTAGAATTATAATCAGGTCTTAGGAATACATTAAAGAAAGGACTTTTTTAAGAAAAATGACTCACCTAGAAGTTAGCTGCACATTAGGCCTTTTGTTTTCAAATATGTGTTGAACACTCAACTTAAGTTTCTGTAGAGGCTGGCATTGTTTCAGACAGTATGAAGAAACCATCAGATCTTTGTCTTCCTCTACACAAATGGTAGCCTCTGAGAAAAAGCCCATTATCTCTTTCACGAATTCTTCTTCCTGATTCTCAAAGAGACAGTAAAACAAAGGCATGTGGTGTTCCATTGCTTTTGGATTATTACCCAAATTTTCCATTTGCTGTAGAAAGTACTGCCTGAGTGGTCCTATCAAGAGTTGACAGCCAAAGGATGCCTCAAGAATTTTTCTCCTCTTCTCATTAAGCAGACCAAAAATGAAAGTCACTATTGGACTGAAATTAATGTATATTTCTCTTTTGTCTTTATCCTTTTTACTAGCTGAGGGGATCTGGCAGTTGATTAGTATCATCATATATGCAATGGCTGCACAGAACTCCTGGATATTCGAGTGGATAAACTTGTGATGGTCCTTACGGCTGCTGCTTGGCAAAAGAATATTCAGGGCTTGCAACAAAGAGACATCAACCTTGGTAAAGCCAACACTTCTGAGGTCTTCATCGCTAAAATTCAGGGTGTTGTGAAACAGTCCTTCTATAGCCAGCAAACACAGACGTTCTAGTAGAACTAGGTGATGCTGATTAGCAGTAACTCCAGCATCAGATGTCAACGTATTGGCAAGAAAATGGGCATATATGTCAGTGCGTGTTTGGCAGGAGAGTTTGACGTCATCCCTCTTGTCCATTTGCTGATTCAGGACAGTACAAGTGACCCAGCATAAGGCGGGGACTCGGCACAGATCCACAAGCATTTCATTTTCATGTACAAATTTGAGGGCTGTCATAGCCCTCTGGCTGTCTTTAAAGAATATGGTAAAATATTCCTGCCTCTTTTCATTAGAGAGCTCTATGGTTATGTAGTAATCTGTCATCTGCATTAACGTATTCACAACAGCCTCACAATTGGGCCTTGATGAGATGAGGAACCAGGAATCTTGAGCCATTTTTCTCTTCAGCAAACTGACTAGGAGAACCGATATGGGTACCTGCTCTCTGCTGTCACTACACAAAGCAGATTCATTCATATTTAACTTCAGATTTATGTTGTCCCAGTCCTCAAAGATAAATAGGAGCTTCTGGGAACTGGACAGGATATCCGCGATAGGAGCCTTGCCATCAGGCCAGTCCTTGGAGATCAGCTCAATCAAGCTACTCCTGGTCATCCGGTTTATTTCATGAGAAGTGAGGCAAACAATGTATGATATCACATCCTTCCACATGTTGCCCTTTGCCCACTCTAACACTGCCATTTTTATAGCCACAGTTTTTCCAGCTGCTTCATCCCCCACCAGCAACACATTAAGATTCTTTGATGAATGAGTGATCTTAGGATTATATGCAAGTTGAAGTACATAGAAAATGTCTGCTGAAACTTTACGGTAGAATTCACCATGAACATCTCCAAAAGGACATTCTTCCCATTGGATTAGAAAGTTTCTTCTTATAAGAACTCTGTGCATCTCTTTGCTACCTAAGCCATGAGTCCAGGGCAAAAGAAATGCAGAACACAGAAAAAAAGTCAAAATGTAAAAATTGTTTCATCCAGTATTTCTACTTACTGCCATTCATCACAAAGATATAGATGCAAAGATATTTACTATCACATTACTTTGAAAGAAAAAGACTGAATAAACCTATTCATCCACATAACAGAATCTGCAGATATTTTTTACCATTGCTTATTCATCCTTCAAGAGCTTCCTTGTCATTTATCTCGCCATGGAGAAGGACTTATTTTTTTTTTCCTTTTGTGGTTTCACAGCATTTTATGTAGACATAAGTTATAACACTTCATTTTGCATCAGATTTTTCCTTTGAGAAAATGATTCTTAAGTTGAGAAGCAGTTTCCTAACATATTTAGCTAAAAGCAGATAACTGTTACATTTTTGGCTATTAACCATAAATTACTCACTTATCTTTCCTCATATTTTCTTGTTTATGCATATCATTCCTTAAATCCTGACCATTTAATGAGTTATGTAAGATAAATTATATATGGACTAACATTTAAGTTATTATGGAGTTATCTCTCCTGAGAGTATATAAGGTTATACTCCCACTGTAAAACAGTAAAACAAGAAAATGCCACATTAAAACAAATAAGTATAGAGCTTTCATGGAGCTATGGATGGAATAATGAGTCCAAATAAGTGAACTCTCAGAGGGGGTGAACTCTCCTTTATGAGAAGATAACTGAAGATGTTGTTATACCTGGGGCAAGGGAAAACAGGAGAGAGAGCCATTGCTGAAGAACGTTGATGGGATAAGTAAAAACAGCTCACCATTCACAGCTGTACCAGGGCTGGTGTGGCAGCAGACTGGAACAGAACAGACACAGCTCTCCCCAGTGGAGAGGAGCCAGATGAATTAATGGCGTGATCCCACTCTCAACTGAAAAAATGTCTGTCCAGTTCTGATCTAGCATATCTGAGCAGCCTAAACAGCTAGGAAAAGGACAAGTGCTTTCAGGGAAAAACATTTCTTTCCCTACTGTTTTTATGTATAATGTCTGGCTGGCAATAAAAAATTGAGATTTGTCAAATGTAAGGTTTGCAAATATTTTCTCTCAATCCATGGGTTGTCTCTTTACTGTTTTCTTTGCTGTGCAGAAGGTTTTTAGTTTAATCCACACACACACAAAAATAAGAACGCGGAGTGATGAATCTGTTAATTAGCTTGATTTAACTATTCCACAGGCCTGATAGGCAGAGAACAGGAAGCTCGCCCAGGGACCTCAGCAGCCATGGGCATCCCCTGCTGCTACTGCAGACTCCACTGCCACATGGGTGGTTCATCATAGCCACTGCCACACTCACTTCTACCACAAGGGAGCTTGCCACCATAGCAGCAGCCACCATTGCCACGCAGGTGGCCTACTGACCACTTGACTGCACTGACACAAGGAGAGTCACCAGTGGAGCCCAGCAAAAGATTTGAGCAGGCACAGACCTGCGACCCAATGGCCCAACCCACAGGGGGAATTATGCTGCCACATGCGACAGTACACCTAGGGGTGGGTGGTACATGTAGAATCAGGATATGGAAATAGAGTAAGGAAGGAAATTCCTGATCACTACCAACTCATCCAGGTAAAGTAGAGACCCAGAGGAAGCCTCTGCCTGTAGGATAGAGGAAAGAGAAACCATGCCCAGGGTCACCCATTCAAACTAAGGAGCTCCAGTACACCACAGTGCATCCATCAGGGTTGCAGGACACCAGCAGGGGTGCCAATAAGCCTACCCAAGGTCACCCACCCCAGCCAAAGAGTAACAGGGCACCCAGGCACTTCTCCCAAGAACTTGAGAGCTTGCCCATGTCCCCAACAAACCAACACAATGTCACTAACTTCAGCAAGGAATCACTAAGTGCCCCAGTGCCTAAGCCATGGAGGCACTTACACACACAACTACAACAATGAATATGGCCAAAGTATCCACACAAAGATTACTGCATCTACCTGGAACAAATACTAAAACACCATACTCAATGGTTGTATTAGTCCGTTTCTGTTTCTTAAAACAAAATACTTGGAACGGGGCACATTGTAAGAAAATGAAATTTATTGATTACAGTTTCAGAGGCCAGGAAGTCCAAAGTCCAGGGCACATACCTGGTCAGGGTCTTCCTTGGTGGTGACTTCAGTGATACAGAGTACCATATTGCAAGAAGGCAGAAGCAGAGAGAGAGAGATAACCTTTTCAGTTGGCTCCGTTTAAAACCATCAGAACCACACCAATGACCACCATTAGTCTACCAACTTATTACTCATAGTCCTTACAATCCAACCACCTCTTTAAGGCCCAACCTTTTGATTACTATTATAGGATCTCCCACCCTCCCAACAGTAAGAGTGGGGGGTCAAGCTTTTAATACTTATGAAGTTTTACTTCATAAAACTTGGGGGACACAATTCAATCCTTATCAATTGTCAATATAAAACACATCTATAGGGGGAAGTCTCTCGTCAAAGCCCACTCCAGAGTAATAGAAGAAACAACTGCTCTACCAGATGACCACACATCAACACAGAGATGCTAGAAATATGAAGAAAAAAAAAAAACAGACCAAAAGAATATAATAATTTTCAAGCACCAGACCCCATATAGCAGGGCCCTAGAAATGACTGAAAAGGAATTCCAAGCAACAATCTTAAAGAAACTCAATGAGATACAAGAAGACTGTTAGACAACACAATGAAATGAGAAAAACAATGCAGGATATGAAGGAGGAAATGTATAAGAGATTAATACCTTAAAAAAGAATGCAGCAGAATTCCTAGAATCAAAGGATTCATTTAACAAAATAAAAACCACAACCAAGAGTTTAAGCAACAGGTTAGAGCAAGCAGAAGAAAATTTTCGATCTTGAAGGTGGTCTTTTTGAAATAACTCAGACAGCCAAAAAAAAAAAAAAAAAAGAGAACCAAAAAAGAAAAAAAAAAAGAAAGAAAACCTAAGAGAGCTATCATACAACCTTAGGTGTTTAAACATCCAAACAATGGGTGCTCTAATAGGGCGCACTCAAAACCTGTTCAATGAAATAATAGCAGAAAAATTCCCAGGCATAGGGAGAGACACCAACCTTTATATCCAGGAGGCTCAAAGATCCCCAAACAGATTTAATCCAAAAATGTACTCTCTAAGACACACTATAGTCAAACTGGCAAAGCTTAAAGACAAGAGAGAATCTTAAAAACAGCAAGAGAAAAGCGTCAAGTCACCTATAAGGGAGTCTGCATCAGACTAACAGCAGATTTCTCAGCAGAAACTCTATAGTCTGAAGAGAAGGGGATTATATATTCAAAATTCTAAAAGAAAAAAACTGCCAGCCAAGGATATTATACCCAGCAAGGCTATCCTTCAGAAATGAGAGAGAAATAGTGTATTTCCCAGATAAATAAAAACGGCAGGAGTTCAACACCACATGACCAGCTTTACAAGAAATCCTCAAGGGATGCTGCATCTAGAATCTGAAAAACGATAATCACTACTGTGAACACACAAGAAAGAACAAAACCTACTGGTAGAACAAAAATTCAAATGAGAAGGAAACTATATCTCACCACCTCAAAGAACCAAACACCAAAAACAAACAACAGAAGAAAAGAACAAAATATATTTAAAATATCCAAATGAAAATCAATAAAATTCCAGGAATAAAGGCAATACCTTTCAATAACAACCCTAAGCATAAATGGATTGAATTCTGTGTCAAACGATGCAGACTGACTGATTGGATTAAAAAGCTAGACCCAACTATGTACCGTCTTCAAGAAATGCACCTCATCTGTAAAGACATACCGACTAATAATGAAGGGATGGAAAAAGATATACCATGCAAATGGAAACCAAAAATGAGCAGGAGTGGCAGGTTTCTCAAAAGATTAAAAATAGAACTACCATATGACCCACCAATCTCTCTTCTGGGTATATATCTAAATGAAATAAAATGAGTTCCTCATAGAGATAACTGCACTTCCATGTTCACTGCTACATTATTCACAATAGCCAAGATGTGAAAACAACCTAAGTGTCTGTCAACAGATGAATGGCTAAAGAAATTGTAATATACACACATACACAGATGCTTTTTAATTTGCAATGGGGTTATGTCCTGATAAACCCATCATAAAGTTGAAATACCATAAGTCTAACCATCATAAGTTGGGACCGTCTATAGACATATAGACATAGTGGAATATTATTCAGCCTTAAAAAAGAAGAAAATCCTGCCTTTCATGACAACATGGATGAACATGGAGGACATTATACTAAGCAAAATAAACCAGATACAGAAAGAAAAAACATACTGCATGCTCTCACTTATAAGTGGAATCTAAAAATAGTCAAATAAATAGAAACAGAGTAGAAGAGTTGTTACCAGGGGTGGGGAGCAGGGGGGATGAGGAAATGCAAGTCAACAGATACAAAGTTGCAGTTATATGGGATGAGTAATCTAGAGATCTAATCTGCAGCATCAGGACCATAGTTGTATTGGATACTGCTTTTGCTAAAAGATTAGACTTCAGGTGCTTTTACTACAAAAAAGTAACTATGTGAGAAGATGGATATGTTAATTTGCTTGGCTGTAGTAATCATTTTTACATATATATATGTATATATATGTGTGTATATGTATAGGAGGGATCCTCAAAAAGTTCATGGAAAGATTTGTGTTATCTTTTAATTCTATTTTTCCATGAACTTTTTGAAGTTCATACACACAGACATATATACATGCATATATACACATGTATACATACACATATATGTGTATATATACACACACACATATACACATACCAAATCATGTTGTACACCTTTGATATATACAATAAAATTTTTTTTAAAAGGAGAGGGGGAAGGATAGTAGAAATATTTGAGGGACAAACTAATGACTTAGAAGATACTAAAGTTGGTGAAAGTTATCACTCAAGTTACCAGTGCCGTGAGGCTGGCTCCCTGACAGCA